TAATTTAATATTCGTTCACTCTTACTACAGAAATGCTTGATACAAATAGAAAATAATAATAAGAGAAAAAATAAAACTAAATAAAATAAATAGAACAGTCAATATAAAATTTTCATCTTCTCGAATAAGCTTTCCTTGTTCAAATTGTTTCTTTTTTCTTAAATAGAGGTTAATTTTCATAATTTTTTTGTAAAAATACTTTAAAAATTGAAATATTATAATAAAGATAGAAATAAAAACTTTATTTATATTGATAAGTTAAGAAAAAGAAGAAAGTGAAAATTTATAATCTGTTAATTTTTCTTCTAAAATAACATCATTTTAGTTTCACTCTTCCTTTTCAAGTTTAAAATTGTCGCTTTTTTTAATCTCCAATCCATCTTTTCTCTATAAAGTCTTTCATTGTTACAATAACTTAATTTACCAAAATTATTTCTCCATTCATTAACTTCAAATTTCGTAATAAAAAATAAAAACGTTCTTTTATCGTAAAGATCATAAAACACTTAATCCAATTGTTTTCTCACAAATTCTTTAACCACAAAAGCAGGAGATTTTTCGTTGTTCAACTGTTTATGGTAATCATTATCAGAAATAATCATAGTAAAATTATTTCCAAATATCCTACAAATCGAATCAAAAATACATTCAATATCTCCAATCAAGAAAAAAACTAATCGCCATGTTTCTTCTTTAAGAGTAAAATTGTTTTTATACAATTTCAGATACGATTCTAAATTAAAAATATAAAGAAAATTTAATTTAAAATATTTTTCTGCTTTTGTCACTTGTTCTTCCTTTAACCACTTGATAAGTTCTTTTTTTCTTAAACTTATTGCTTGTAATCCCTTAAGAGAAATATAAGTTTCGTAAGAATACTTTTGACAAATTTTAACTTGTAAAATATCTTTTTTTCGGTTAGACAAATACATTTTACTCATAATAATAACATAAAATCCACTCTATTTATAATTATAAAAATATTTCCTAGCTTTTGCTACTCCTTTATTCTCTAAACACATATTGTTAAATAAATTGCTAAATATATTTATCATGTTAGGTAATAACACGTCCAAATGTGAACTATTAACTGTCCACATTTAGTAATTTTATTTAAATGTCATTGAAAGTGAATCGTATAAATGTATTTTCTCCACGAGTTTTCGTCCAAAAAAGCTCAAATTTCACAGACAAATTCTCGAATATCATACACACAATCGATATTAATGAAGGTTCTGACACTTCATTTGAAGAAATGGTCTTTTGATCGATTCAAATCCGTCGGCAATTTTGCGAAACGTATGAGCGAATAGAAGACAAAATCATGAATATCTCCACAAATATCTGATTAAAAAGGTTAAAAATTGAGATTCGAATGGTCCGATATCCCATCCACAAGTTTACTTAGACACGTAAAGATGGTTTGCTTGTGATAAAATTGTGAAAAGTCACGTTGAAGTTTGAGTCAATTCCGAAAACTAGAAATAATTTAGAATAAATCACCAGTCATAACAAAAATGTGGTACCCGGCATTCAAAAATCACCATACCCCATTTTAATTAGTGAAAAAAAAACACCACCCGGCATTCAAAAATCACCATCCCCAATGGGGTCCTTTTTAACATAGTAAAAAAACTTTGCGCCCTAATGGGATGCTTTTTTATATAATAAAAAAAATTTTACACCCTAAAATTGTCTTTCGGAAATCACTATTTTACATACTACTGATGTCGGGTTTATAATTGAAATGGACCTGAGTCAAAATTTCCTTTTTTAGTTAGGCTTAAAAAATTTTTTATGAATTAGCAAAGTGGCGTTCGGACGAACGCCATTGTTTTTATTGGCAATACGCAGAGTTTTAACAGTTGAGTTTTAAATTGTATTGCCAGAGGCGGCAATGACCCGTAAACGCCATTTGTTTACGTGTTCTTATGCTGTAGCAAACGTGAACGCATTATGTTTTGGATGCCCGCCAACTTTTTCTCGTAACACTATCTGAGCAACGAGAAAAAATACGCCAGTCAACATTAAAGGAGGAACTTAATTAGAAAATTCAAAAAAACGGTCATTTTGTCAAAAATCATCTATAATCAAAACTTTGTATATAAAACTACCCTTTGCATTCTAACAAAAAAAATTTCTCACAAAATTTTACTATAAAAAAACT